CAGAAACCTGTAACTGTTTTGCATGATGGTAGGATTGCTGGTCTCTTTTTCTGTCTCATAAACACGCTAGATAACAGGGATATCTTGCTACTCCTACTTACACTTTGGTCACACTTCACAGACACGCACATGTATGTGTGTGTGTGTGTGTATATATATATATATATATATATATATATTGGCAGTTTGGAGGGATATGTTGTGTATCTTTATACGTATATGCTTCTAAACTGTTGTATTCTGAGCACCTCTGCAAAAGCAGTGATAATGTGTGAGTGTGGTGAAAGTGTTGAATGATGATGAAAGTATTTTCTTTTTGGGGATTTTCTTTCTTTTTTGGGTCACCCTGCCTCGGTGGAGACGACCGACTTGTTGAAAAAAAAAAAATAAAAATATCTATATATATAAATATATATATATAAAATATATATATATATTATATATATATATATATATAAATATATAATATGTAGGTAGTAGGTTGGTAGACAGCAACCACCCAGGGAAGTACTACCGTCCTGCCAGATACTGTGAAACAAAAACCTGTAACGTTTGGCATGATGGTAGGATTGCGGGTTTTTCTTTTTCTGTCTCATAAACACGCTAGAAAACGGGGATATCTTGCTACTCCTACTTACACTTTGGCCCACATTTCACAGACACGCACATGCAAATATATATACATACATCTAGCTTTTTTCTCCTTATTCTAAATAGCTCTTGTTCTTCTTATTTCTTCTTTTTGTCCATGGGGAAGTGGAAAAGAATCTTTCCTCCGTAAGCCATGCGTGTCGTATGAGGCGACTAAAATGCCGGAGCAATGGGCTAGTAACCCCTTCTCCTGTATACATTTACTAAAAAGAGAAGAAGAAAAACTTTATAAAACTGGGTTGTTTAAATGTGCGTGGTTTGTATGCGGATGACAAGAAACAGATGATTGCTGATGTTATGAATGAAAGAAGTTGGATGTCCTGGCTCTAAGCGAAACAAAGCTAAAGGGGGGTAGGAGATTTTTCAGTGGGGGGAAATAAATGGGATTAAATCTGGAGTATCTGAGAGAGTTAGAGCAAAGGAAGGGGTAGCAGAAAATGTTAAATGATCAGTTATGGAAAGGAGAAAAGAGAATATGAATGTGTAAATTCGAGAATTATGTGGATTAAAGTAAAGGTTGGATGCGAGAAGTGGGTCAAAATAAGCGTGTATGCACCTGGAGAAGAGAGGAATGCAGGGGAGAGAGAGAGAATTTTGGGAGATGTTAAGTGAATGTATAGGAGCCTTTGAACCAATTAGAGAGTAATTTGGTAGGGGACCTGAATGCTAAAGTAGGAGAAACTTTTAGAGAGGGTTGGGTAGGTAATTTTTGGGGTGCCAGGTGTAAATGATAATGGGACCCCTTTTGATTGAACTTTGTATAGAAAGGGGTTTAGTTATAGGTAATACATATTTTAAGAAAAAGAGGAAAATAAGTATACACGATATAAATGTAGGCGAAATGACAGTAGTTTGTTGGATTATGTATTGGTAGATAAAAGACTGTTGATAGACTTCAGGTGTACATGTTATCGAGGGGCCACAGATATATCAGATCACTTTCTAGTTGTAGCTACACTGAGAGAAAAAAGGTAGATGGATACAAGGAGAATAGAAGCATCAGGGAAGAGAGAGGTGAAGGTTTATAAACTAAAAGGGAAGCAGTTAGGGTAAGATATAAACAGCTATTGGAGGATAGATGGGCTAATGAGAGCATAGGCAATGGGGTCGAAGAGGAATGGGGTAGGTTTAAAATGTAGTGTTAGAGTGTTTAGCAGAAGTTTGTGGTTACAGGAAAGTGGGTGCAGGAGGGAAGAGGAGCGATTGGTGGAATGAAAATGATGTAAAAGGAGAGTAAGGAGAAAAAGTTAGCATATGAGAAGTTTTTACAAAGTAGAAGTGATGCAAGGAGGGAAGGTATAATGGAGAAAAAGAGAGAGGTTAAGAGAGTGGTTTAAGCAATGTAAAAAGAGAGCAAATGAGAGAGTGGGTGAGCTGTTATCAACAAATTTTTTTGAAAATAAGAAAAAGTTTGGAGTGAGATTAACAAGTTAAGGAAGCCTAGAGAACAAATGGATTTGTCAGTTAAAAATAGGAGAGGAGAGTTATTAAAAAGGGGAGTTAGAGGTATTGGGAAGATGGAGGGAATATTTTGAGGAATTGTTAAATTTGATGAAGACAAGGGGAAACTGTGATTTCCCTGTATTTGGGCAAGGAGGAATAACATCTTGTAGGAGTGAGGAAGAGCCAGTTGTGAGTGTGGGGGAAGTTCGTGGGGCAGTAGGTAAAATGAAAGGGGGTAAGGCAGCCGGGATTGATGGGATAAAGATAGAAATGTTAAAAGCAGGTGGGGATATAGTTTTGGAGTGGTTGGTGCAATTATTTAATAAATGAATGGAAGAGGGGAAGGTACCTAGGGATTGGCAGAGAGCATGCATAGTTTCCTTGTATAAGGCAAAGGGGATAAAAGAGGAGTGCAAAAATTATAGGGGGGTAAGTCTGTTGAGTTTTACCTGGTAAAGTGTATGGAGAGTTATAATTGAAAGAATTAAGAGTAAAGACGGAGAATGGATAGCAGATGAACAAGGAGGCTTTAGGAAAGGTAGGGGTGTGTGGACCAGGTGTTTACAGTGAAACAATAAGTGAACAGTATTTAGATAAGGCTAAAGAGGTCTTTTGGGCATTTAAAGGATTTGGAAAAGGCGTATGACAGGGTGGATAGGGGGGCAATGGGGGCAGATGTTGCAAGTGTTGGTGTAGGAGGTAGGTTACTGAAAGCAGTGAAGAGTTTTACGAGGATAGTGAGGCTCAAGTTAAAAGTATGTAGAAAAGAGGGAAATTTTTTCCCAGTAAAAGTAGGCCTTAGACAAGGATGTGTGAAAGTTTACCGTGGTTGTTTAATATATTTATAGATGGGGGTTTTAAGAGAAGTAAATGCGAGGGTCTTGGCAAGAGGCGTGGAGTTAAAAGATAAGAATCACACACAGGGTGGGAGTTGTCACAGCTGCTCTTTGCTGATGACACTGTGCTCTTTTGGGGGATTCTGAAGAGAAGCTGCAAAAGATTGGTGGATGAATTTGGTAGGGTGTGTAAAAGAAGAAAATTAAAGGGGAATACAGGAAAGAGTAAGGTTATGAGGATAACAAAAAGATTAGGTGATGAAAGATTGAATATCAGATTGGAGGGAGAGAGTATGGAGGAGGTGAAACGTATTCAGATAAATTTTTGGGGTGGACGTGTCAGCGGATGGGTCAATGAAAGATGAGGTGAAAACATAGAATTGATGAGGGAAAAAGAGTGAGTGGTGCACTTAGGAGTCTGTGGGGACAAAGAAATTTGTCCTTGGAGGCAAAGAGGGGAATGTATGAGAGTATAGTTTTACCAACGCTCTTATATGGGTGTGAAGCATGGGTGATGATGTTGCAGCGAGGAGAAGGCTGGAGGCAGTGGAGATGTCATGTCTGAGGGCCCAAAGTGTGGCGTGAATATAAATGCAGAGAATTCGTAGTTTGGGAAGTTAGGAGGAGGTGCGGGATTACCAAAACTGTTGTCCCCGAGGGCTGAGGAAGGGTTGTTGAGGTGGTTCGGACATGTAGAGAGAATGGAGCAAAACAGAATTAACTTCAAGAGTGTATCAGTCTGTAGTGGAAGGAAGGCGGGATAGGGGTCAGCCTAGGAAAGGTTGGAGGGAGGGGGTAAAGGAGGTTTTGTGTGCGAGGGGCTTGGACTTCCAGCGGGCATGCGTGAGCGTGTTTGATAGGAGTGAATGGAGACAAATGGTTTTTAATACTTGACGTGCTGTTGGAGTGTGAGCAAAGTAACATTTATGAAGGGATTCAGGGAAACCGGCAGGCCGGACTTGAATCCTGGAGATGGGAAGTACAGTGCCTGCACTCTGAAGGAGGGGTGTTAATGTTGCAGTTTAAAAACTGTAGTGTAAAGCACCCTTCTGGCAAGACAGTGATGGAGTGAATTATGGTGAAAGTTTTTCTTTTTCGGGCCACCCTGCCTTGGTGGGAATCGGCCAGTGTGTTAATAAAAAAAATAAATTGCATGGGAAAGACTGGTTATGGTCTCATAACTAGAATCATTCAACATTAACGAATAATCAGGTATGTACAAGAGAGCACCACCATTTTTCCAACGTGTGAGATCTTGTAACCACACAGTAAATTGGGAAGGCACTAAAATAACACAAACTGGAAGATCCATTCAAAAGGAAGACAATGGAAGCAGCAGTTAAAGGTCAAACACTCAACTTTGATATTTCTCTCAACTGTTGTATCTGCATGCCCCTGGCAAGACAGTGATAGTGTGAATGATGGCAAATGTGTTCCTTTTTTGGGGTCACCCTGCCTCAGTGGGAGATGGTCAGTGTGTTAAAAAAAAATTACTTACCATTTTAGTTTTTAATTCGTCACTTCTCAATAATCTTCAATTATACGTAATTAGAAAATCAGACACGTAACAGAACAGTAACTGTTATGCTGTAACTCTGAACTATGACCACAATGGTGTATACATCAGCTTTCACTATACATTATACTGTATAGTCTATAATATTTTTTAATGTTATATTTATTAACATAAAACACATACTGTATGTAGTACACAAATATTCATTTCACTCAGGTTTTGCCTACAGCATTAGTCATACAAGGAGAGTCTCATATGTTTTAATTCCATAAAAATCTACCTACATAAACCCTATATAATTAATTTATAATCATTATATCTAATCTCAGAACCTATGTATAATATTACATAGTATTGTAATATCATGTATGCTAATATCCAATGCTTAAATTTAACATGTCTATAAAGAGTGCTCATTAAATTTACAAAACTAATTTTTTTTATTTTTACAGTGATATAATACTGTACTGGTAATGCTGCTATAACAATGTGTCAATGCCACTGCCTATTGAGACCCTAACTACTTAAAAAAAAAAAGTTGTTATATCTCTTACCTTTGTCGATTCCTGGTTTGTAAGACAGCAGGTGGTGGTGGATTCACATCGGACACTGGTCGAGTGCGACGCCGCTGGAATCTTAGGTTGAGTTGTGTCTCATCAGTGACATACTTGTCTACTCCTTGTCTCCGTCTCCTTAATGCTGGTGTAAGATCAGCGAGATCCTCACTATGATCTTCTTGGCTAGCTGAGCGCTGGTAGTCACAAGAGGCGACTGATCCCCGTTCCCGGCCTGATCGATGTTCTGAAACACCGCTACGAGTACTTAATGAATCTTCCTCATTGCCCGGAGATGTAACTTTTTCTGCTAGGGCAACAGAAATTCTCCGAGCTGCTTCAGCACGTTCTGCTTCTGAATATCGTGGACTTCTACCTCCTGATGGTGTATTAAGGCTGCCTTCAGGCTCTCCATCTTTGGTAGTACGTACCCACAGAGGCACAGGAATGCGACTTTTTTGAGAAGAATCATCCTGTGCAGCAGGCGATTTCCTAGAGCCATTGCCACGCTGTCGGTCTGGTGACAAAGAAGAACGTGGCTGTAAATCCGTAGGTCGGGGTGTATTAGTTTTGGAAGACTCCTGAGATCCCTCTTCTAGCAGATCCTCACAGGAGCGGCGGTGACGAGATGATCGGCTACGACGTCCACCACTCTCACTGTGTGGTGGCGTTCCTCTTGGCGACACTGATGGCGTCACTGTCCGTGATCTGTTAATCATCGTTGATACTTGGAAGGCTGCAGACAAATCATGTAAATTTATAACAGATATTTTTCTTGAATCTTCTATGTCATGCTTTTCTTCTAATAAAAATTCTAGGGATTTTCTTCGTTCTGATATAAAAGACTTTTCTTCTTCACATATTGTATCTTGACGAGTTCTTGCTTCAGTTTCTCTCTGACCCATAACAGTTTCATAACGAGATGACTCTGGAAGTGGTGCACCCATGACAGTTTCATATCGTGAAGTCTCCTGAACAGTTGTAACTACAGTGTGATCGTGTATGGCAGATTCATAACGGCTGGTATCAGGAGGATGGACTGCAGATTCATAGTGTGTAGATTCAACATCACGATCTTTATTATCTTCTAAGACAACTGGTAAAGCTGCAACTCCCAGTCGCCGTCGTGAGTCATCCTTTTTGCCACCTCGGATCTCACCTTTATCTTTGGGTAATAAATCTGAAGCTTCACTGGTTTTATGGGCTTCATCCTCTTGCTCATTTCTAGGTGAACTTTTGCTGTGAGACTTCTGACTAGATTGTAGATGAGGCTGCTGTGATAAATCTTCTGGAGGTGGAGCATCATAGTATACAGAACGCTCTTCTGGGTGTGTAATTGGGCTAGATTGGAGGGAAGCAGATTTATTTGTAGTTCCAGGCGGCAGGTCTACCATGGATGGTGGTGGTGGAGGTGGGTTCTCAGCCCCAGCATTAAATGCAGCTGGTGCAGGCACTACACTAGAAAGTTCTTGCCGAGATACTCGAGTCTGGCTAGTCACTACAGTAGTGGGGCCAGAAGGCTCAGAAAATTTTCTATCCTTGTCAAGTACACGGAATTCAATTTTGCCACCTACCACAGCATCATCCTCTGCACCTTCTTCTGGTTCGCAAACACTGTCAACATAATGAGTTAATGTGAAAATGAACTGAAAATCTAGAAAATGTTTAAAATTCTAATATAAATCTTAACCCATAAATGGTCCAAACGCATATATACGTTTTTTCAACATTTGAAAGTATGTAAAAATAGTAGATCTTTTTTTTTTTTTTCTACATTTGAAAACGTGTAAAAAACTCTGATCTACGTTTTTTTTTTTTTTTTTTTTTTTTAACAAGTCGGTCGTCTCCCACCGAGGCAGGGTGACCCAAAACAGAAAGAAAATCCCCAAAAAGAAAATACTTTCATCATCATTCAACACTTTCACCACACTCACACATTATCACTGCTTTTGCAGAGGTGCTCAGAATACAACAGTTCAGAAGCATATACGTATAAAGATACACAACATATCCCTCCAAACTGCCAATATCCCAAACCCCTCCTTTAAAGTGCAAGCATTGTACTTCCCATTTCCAGGACTCAAGTCAGACTATATGAAAATAACCGGTTTCCCTGAATCCCTTCACTAAATATTACCCTGCTCACACTCCAACAGATCGTCAGGTCCCAAGTATCATTCGCCTCCATTCACTCCTATCTAATACGCTCATGCACGCTTGCTGGAAGTCCAAGCCCCTAGCCCACAAAACCTCCTTTACCCCCTCTTTCCAACCCTTTCGAGGATGACCCCTACCCCTCCTTCCTTCCCCTATAGATTTATATGCTTTCCATGTCATTCTACTTTGATCCATTCTCTCTAAATGACCATACCACCTCAACAACCCCTCTTCTGCCCTCTGACTAATGCTTTTATTAATTCCACACCTTCTCCTAATTTCCACACTCCGAATTTTCTGCATAATATTTACACCACACATTGCCCTTAGACAGGACATCTCCACTGCCTCCAACCGTCTCCTCGCTGCTGCATTTACCACCCAAGCTTCACATCCATATAAGAGTGTTGGTACTACTATACTTTCATACATTCCCTTCTTTGCCTCCATAGATAATGTTTTTTGACTCCACATATACCTCAACGCACCACTCACCTTTTTTCCCTCATCAATTCTATGATTAACCTCATCCTTCATAAATCCATCCGCCGACACGTCAACTCCCAAGTATCTGAAAACATTCACTTCTTCCATACTCCTCCTCCCCAATTTGATATCCAATTTTTCTTTATCTAAATCATTTGATACCCTCATCACCTTACTCTTTTCTATGTTCACTTTCAACTTTCTACCTTTACACACATTCTCAAACCCATCCACTAACCTTTGCAATTTTTCTTTAGAATCTCCCATAAGCACAGTATCATCAGCAAAAAGTAACTGTGTCAATTCCCATTTTGAATTTGATTCCCCATAATTTTTTTATATTTGAAAATATGTAAAAAAAACATAGATCTACTCTTGGAGCACTATGCATATGAATGTAGATCTCCTTGGACCATTTACGGGTTAAATACTGTATATATAATGGTGTAATGTCAGAACAGAAGGAGAATAAATGATTTAAGTATTTCTTTATGGAAGCTAAGAAGAAAAGATAAAACAGAAGCAGAAATAGGAAGGAGCAAAGCAAAGAAGCTTGACTGCATAAAATTCTGATTATACTTATAATTTTAAACTACAGTACTAATTGTATGACGTATTATACAGTGTGTGCTCTCTGAACTGAACTAAAGAGAAACAGTGTGTTCAGGAAAAGAATTTCCAGTAAGAGATGTCAATTACATTGGTAATTTTTTTATTGCTAGACTGAGAGAATGTGGAATTTTGGATACTTTTATGTCAAACAAAAATGCATTTGATCCACAAACAACTGAGAAAAACAAGAATCTCACATTACCAATGCAACAAAAAATTTATGTAGCACTACATCAGCCAGGGTCCTGCAGTACAGGGACCTGGCTGACATATTAATACATTCCTGAAAATGCATCCAAAGTTGAGTGTTCGATACTCTGAACCTATTTCCCATATAAACCCATGTTATGATTGGAGATTCTATCCCAAGCTATAATGTTCAGCATAATTTCCTTTATTTTTAGCTAAGAATATTTATTCAAGTACTGTTCCTTTTCACTTATAAATAAGATTAAACATTGTTTAATTCATTGATATATCTTAATTAAATAGAACATAGACAATACAGTAAAGTGCATGTGTCCTGTGGCCTGGTAGGCAACACTCTTGCCTCACACACAGTGTCCATGATTTGATCCCCGGCAAGGGTGGAAACATTGGGCGTGTTACCTTACACCTACTGTCCCCATTCACCTAGCAAGTAAGTAGGTACCTGGATGTTAGTTGATTGGTGTGGGTTGCATCCTGGGGGACAAGACTGAGGGCCCTAATGGAAATAAGAAAGGCAGTTCCATAATGATCCACTGCCTTTCTTGGGTTATCCTGGGTGGCTAACCTAGGGTGGAAAGGGGATGGGGGAGAAGAGGACAGGAGGGGAAAAGTGGAAGGGGCAGGGGGAAGAGAAGGAAAGGGAATGAAAGAACAAGAAGAGAGAATAGGGGGAAGAGAAGGAAAGGGAATGGAAGTGCAAGAAGAGAGGAGAGGGGGAAGGAGGGGAAGGGGCAGGAGAGAGGAGTGAGGCTCAGGGAGACAGGAGGGAAGTGGGGAAAAGGAGGGAAGGATGAGTAGGTATGAAGTGTGGGGAAAGTACCAGTAATGGTGAGTGTGTGTGTATGAGAGAGGGTGTAGCATGAGGTCCCACACTTAACATGTCCAGTATGTATAAGCAGGTAGGAGCTCCCATAACCCAACCAAACAGCATTAAACAAAATCACAAATATTACATCAACGGTTCTCTCTCAAGCAAGCTCTGCCAAACTTTACTGATAAAAATGCTTCAGTCAAATCTCTCTCTTTTCAGTTAATTCTCTTCTGAATGTGTCATTTATTACCTGTTGTGACAACAATGCTGAGTGATGGATAGAAAGGGAAGGGAAGAGAGAGGAGAAAAATGATAGCTAAAGAGGAGTGGAGAGTGAAAAATAGTATAGGCATGCCTCTGGCAAGACAGTAGTGGCATGAATTATGGTGAAAGTGTTTCTTCTTTTTCAGGTCACTCTGCCTCAATGGGAAATGGTTGATGTGTTAATAAAAAAATATATTATTACATGACCTCTGCTGGTCTTACAAAGCAGATAATTCATTATGGCTACAGAACCAAGGGTACCAGAAAACTGGTGGCATATTTGTGTATGAAATGTATTTGTATATCAAATGTGCCCCTTTAAAAAAATCAAATGTGCCCCTTTAAGTGTATTTGTCTTCCATTTAGTGGATGGACAACCATTCCTTATGCTGAATGACTCACATAAGTTTTGCCTGTCACATACATATAATATGATTGTACATTGTGCCACTTTATAGAAATAAAGTTGTTTGGTTATAAATGACAATAAAATCTTGGTAAGTATGGTACCATTAATTTCACTGCTAAAACAGTTTAATATAAAAATTATATAGAAAATTATTTTCCCAAAATGCCTCTTGTATTAAAACACATGTGTCTAAGGGAAAATAGGGTTTGTGTGACACAAAAATCATTAGGGAGTGAAAAGTATCATGGTCTTTAAGCAGGAGATAACCGAAATTCTATCATATTCCACTGTAACTATCAGCGTTAGTTATCTGATACCCATTATGCTTGGCAACATTTAAAAATTCATAGTGTGAAAATTAACAAGTGAAGGAGTGGCAGGGGTGTGGTTGGGTGGTGGAGGGTTACTGGTGATTTGTTTTGCTCAGGTGTTGTTCAAGATTCCAGTAATATTAAACTAAGGTTTTTATTTTTAATTTAAAAATTATTTCAAATGCTGTACAGTATTTGTTTTCTCTTTATTTTTACATTTATTCCATTGTCAGTAGTTTTACACATCTGTAAATCTTGATAATATTTCTGCATTATCGTAATCATAAGGAAGCGGTAAATCCACAGGGGCTATGCAGCACCTGGGGAATGGGAGGTATTAGGTTTGATCCATAGGGAGAGGAGCTCCAATTCTCTGGATCAAGAGCCCTTAACCAGCACTGAGGCCCCTCCCTTTAAGGGCAATTTTCAATAGCCCCCAGCTAGCATCCTGGTTAATAATACTTATAAAGCTTCAAGAAGAAGTACATGTAAGGAAAAGAAAACATAAGCAAATTATTAAGCAGAAGTAAGGCATTATTAAACTTAAGAGAATAAGTAAGTGGAATACCCTGATTTAGTTTATGTTAATTTCATAGGAGGTGCAGAAAGGAATTCAATCAACAAAAAATTAATATGTGCAGGAGATACTTCTGTTCAGTATGTAAGATAAGATAAGATAAGATTTCGTTCGGATTTTTAACCCCGGAGGGTTAGCTACCCAGGATAAACCAAGAAAGTCAGTGCGTCATCGAGGACTGTCTAACTTATTTCCATTGGGGTCCTTAATCTTGTCCCCCAGGATGCGACCCACACCAGTTGACTAACACCCAGGTACCTATTTGCTGCTAGGTGAACAGGACAATAGGTGTAAGGAAACGTGTCGAAATGTTTCCACCCGCCGGGAATCGAACCCGGGCCCTCCGTGTGTGAAGCGGGAGCTTTAGCCACCAGGCCACCGGGCCACCGGATGAACTGTACACACCATTTTTCAAAATAAAACTATACCAAATAATTCCCTGTATAGTGTCTGGTGCTGTAGGTAATTCCATGATATTGCATAAAAGATTATAGTGCTGAGTAAAAGTCTCTAGTTTTTATAAGTCTATGGTGTTGTATAATTCTGTATGCAGTGGAACTTCTACTTACGAGTGCATCCAAGTGCAAGTTTTTCCAGATACGAGCAGTCACTCAATCAATTTTTTGCTTCCAGACATGAGGGAAATTTCCAGATGCGAGCGGGCCTCAAAAGGAGATTCCTTGACACTGGTGAGGGGATCCTGCTCTTGATCTAGGGAACTGGATCTCAGTTGTTTGTTGGACTATCTTATTGAAACTTTGGCAATGTATGATGGAAAGATGCTCCTTAACATACATCAAAAATGAAAGAAATCGGACGATAAGTAACGGAGTTCACTTCTCAGCCATTAGCCTCCCCTTAGCGGTATATTTTCGTATGGTTTTTGTGATTGTATTCTCGTTTTTTTTGGTCTCAGTTGATAGAATGGAAGATATACTACAGAAATATATATGATTTTGATTGGTTTCACGATGAAAAGTACCTTGAAATTGAGCTCAAAGTAGCAGAAATGTTTGATTCTTTGGCAATGTTCAATGTTCAATACCTGTCCGATTGGCACTGCCTCTCAACTTTCACATATTGGAAAGCTCTTCAATATGCTAACAAAAGTGGGAGCAGACATCATGAGGTAGCAGTGGCAGACAACATGAAGCAGCAGTGGCAGACATGAAGCAGCAGTGGCAAACATCATGAAGCAGCTGTGGCAGACAACATGAAGCAGCAGTGGCAGACAACATGAAGCAGCAGTGACAGACAACATGAAGCAGCAATGGCAGACAACATGAAGCAGCAGTGGCAGACAACATGAAGCAGCAGTGACAGACAACATGAAGCAGCAATGGCAGACAACATGAAGCAGCAGTGGCAGACAACATGAAGCAGCAGTGGAAGACATCATAAAGCAGCAGTGGAATGGCAACTGTGGTGGCCCTATAAACCCCAACAACAACAATGGCCACTGTCACCACCACTAGCCACATACATAATGACATGTATTTTATTCATTCTAGTGTATATATCATGTTTCCATGTTATTAATATTGTTATGTCATATTAGATGAATTGTGATAGATAAATAAGCCATAGAGTTGATATTAGAGAAATTATTGAAGTATTTTGTCGTGCCTGGAATTCCACTGGAACAGATTAATTCTATTCAATTAATTCAAATGAGGAAAACTGACTCCGCAAATGAGCAAATCCAGATGCGAGCAAGGTCATGGAACGGATTAAACTCGTAAGTAGAGGTTCCACCATATAGTGTTGTGTAAATATACATTATTGTATAAGTCTACAGTATTGTAAGAGTCTATACATCTACGTGAGTACAAATAGGAAGTGTGTCTGTCTTGTGCTCAGCAGATGGAGGATGACGTCTCCACCACGTCTTGAGCAGTGATTCACATGGGTTTAGTGCTTAACATGAATTATTATTATATTATGTAAATTCTATAGTGTTGCACAAGTCTACAGTGTTGTACAAGTCTACAGTGTTGTATAAATCTAGTGTTGTATCAAGGTCTACTGCACTGTATAAAAGAGTTTATGGTGTTGTACAGAAGACTACAGTATTGTGTACAAGTTCAGTTTTATATAAAAGCCTACAGTACTGTAAAATGTCTACATTGTACAAAAGTTTGTAGTGTTGTATAAATTCAAGTATTGCATAGAAGTCTATGGTGTTGTATAAGTCTACAATGTTGTATAAAATTCTACTCTATTATATAAAAGTTTAAAGTGTTGCATAAAATTCTACAATTGCATAAGTGTGCAGTGTTGTATAAGTAAATAATGTTGTATACAATTTTACAGTATTATACAAAAGTCTTCAATCTTATATAAGAGTCTGCATTATATAAGAGACTACATTGTATAAAAGTCTATGTTAATGAAATACTACAATGAGTTATTCATATCCATAAAGATTTTACCTCATGTGTAAATCAATATACAGTGGACCCCCGCGTAACGATTAACTCCGAATGCGACCAATTATGTAAGTGCGTTTGTACTTGTATGTTTGGGGGTCTGAAATGGACTAATCTACTTCACAATATTCCTTATGGGAATAAATTCGGTCAGTACTGGCACCTGAACATACTTATGGAATGAAAAAAATATCGTTAACCGGGGGTCCACTGTATATACTTGCACTATATATGTTTCAAGATCAAATATATGAGAAGTATGAATACTGAAATTCATGTATGAAATCATTATCATATAAACCATACCATAGGCAGGATTTGAACCCGCTTTCTGAGAGTCTCAAAACTCCAGACTCTCTGACCGCGGGTTCAAATCCCGTCCGTGGTATGGTTTGTTTGCAATCATGTCATTACGATTTCTTGAGTCATTATCATATATTTTGGAAAGCTAATGAAAGATTACAAGCTGAAGATTGAGCTTACTGACCCTATATCAGGCATGCTCTGCCGACGCTCTGGAGTGAGAGGTGAACCTTCTCTAGAGGTTTTGACGCAGATACCACGTGCAACGTCTAATTCATATACAGCATCGGTAACAGTGGTAGTGTGTACTAAAGGAGGTTCCAGCCCAGGACGAATGTGACTAGATAGTTGTGGGTTGGACCAGGCACGTGGAAGGCTACTAGCCTGTCCTCCCAGATCAACTTGCAGAACACCTGTAGTTTCCATAGGCAAACAGGCCACATTAGGCACAGGATCTTCTACTCCCCCTGTGACCTTCGTCACAACACGAAATTCTTCAATACCATGACTTCCCGCCACACTTCCTCCGATCATGGTGACATCTGGTACCTGAGTAAGTGAGTCATATATTAGTGTATACTGTAGATGAATGAAAAATATTCAATATAAAGACTGTAGTAAAGTTAAATGTGTGTAACTACCTATTTGTCTGTGTATGTATGTATGTAAGTATGTGTGTATGTAAGTATGTGTGTATGTATGTCTGTGTATGTAAGTATGTGTGTGTGTGTGTATAATTATATATATATATATATATATATATATTTTTTTTTTTTTTTTTTTTTTTTCAACAAGTCGGCCGTCTCCCACCGAGGCAGGTATATAGGGAGGTACCACCTCTAGAACTGTTCTAGGGACCCTCATCCTCAGAGAAAAGAATAAAATGTATGTTTGATCATAAACAAGTGATCAAACAAATAAAAAAAACTATCAACAGCTTAAGGTTTGTCACATTGCAGTGAAGCAGTGCCTGGCTGTGCTCACACTGCCTTTCTTCCTCTGAGAGTCTACCCTACCCCAATGGATATAAGTCACTTTGTCTGACTTTTTGGGGTTGTCCTAGATAATCTACACATATGCTGCTATGTATGATAATTTATGTAACTGTATTTATGTGTACCTGAATAAAAACTTACTTACCTACTGCACCTAAAGAGGGATTGGTTGCAGTGCAAAAGGCCTAGAGCTAGTTCATTTTTATTTCACCCCCTCTGTGCTGGTTTTGCATTAATAAATAAATTATATATATAGATATATTATAAATTATTAAATTATATATATATATATATATATATATATATATATATATATATATATATATATATATATATATATATATATATATATATATATATATATATATATTTTTTTTTCATCAAGTAATAAACTGTAGCACCCTTACCATAGCACATGTTATATTTATTTAATATATTACATCCACTAAAATGTACTGCCAATATACTGTCTATCTTATTTTGTATACATAATGGTGCATTTATTATACAACTGCTTTATGCTAATATATTTCACTTGCTCAGGTAAAAGACAGTTCCTGGCAAATGATCAACTACTCAAGGTCACTTGTTTGGCCAGAGATAACTGCAAAAATTATAAAGTCCCTGAGATAATTCTAGTCAATTTGGTTTCCTACTGAATCATCACACACTTGTCACCAATAAAGCTCACCTTATATATGGTCCTTAACCTGCTAATATAACATTTGAAATATTTAACTTGGACTGAGGCCAATATTATGGTGAATTTATTAATATGTGTAATACTCTATTTGAAAGCCACACACACACACACACTACAATGTAGCGAAGATTAGCGTACACACGGGGCAGCAAAAGCATACACACACATGCGGTTATTGGGACACGTTTGATAACACTTCGGGGATCACCTGAGGAAGACCAGTAACAGGCGTTGCTCTGAGTATTGCAGGTGTGCGACATCTATTTCAGAAGCATCAGCGTTGGGTTTAGGCCACCAGGTCTAGAGGTAAGGTCATCCACAAAGAGTGATGTCTCCAGGTTATGGATGTTATCATGATAGCACTTGTAGTTAAGGTGATTGTTGGTCCCATGGAAATGGAATGGTTGAGTATATAGCTGAAGAGTAGGCAGAGCTAGCACCGAAGATGGAGCCCCGAGATGACCACGTGTAATGTTGTCTCCTCAAACAGCACACTTCTTCGCTGCCGCAGCGTCTGCATGGGAACCCGACGTCACAAGGAAGTCTTCATAACACAGACACAACGCCGCTGATTATCCAACTATGGCATGTGACCCTCATCCCATATACTTACACCTAAAATACAACTGCACCATACTTCTATATCTCCATCTTCACCATATAAATTAAATTTTCTGTCAGTAGTTAATTCCTTTCCCCAAAAAACTGAATTCTACGAACAAAATTCAAATTATGGCTCTGTTAATTACATATAGCATTAAAAACTTTGTTTCACTAATTCATCAAATTTTATTAGTTTGATTACTGATTGAGTGTATGTGATGTGTACATGCCAGAGATGGCTTTACTTTATGAATGTAATATAAATATACTGTATATGGCACATCCATTAAGATAAAACAATATTTTTTGCTCTGTAATGTTCATATTATGCAGTATATTAACACAAGGGATTTTAGGTGAAACTAGTTTACTCTGACTGTTCATGGATATAATACCATGGGAGTGGCTAGGGTTTACTCTTTATTGCAATCACTGGTTTAATTATTTTGTTACATACTGTATATACTTTGCACTGCACTGCATCCTGCAGCTTTTTCTTATTTATTCTAACTATTTTCTCCTATGTTTTCTTCATAACAAAATCAAATTTATTACTCATATCCAACACATATCAGAAAATGTATTAAAGACTGTGGGAATACTCTCTAAAATTCACTATTATGTACCACAGTCTAATCTACTAATGCTAAACTTTTTTCCATATATAGCCATTCCTCACATGTGAGATTTGTACTTTGGGATCCACTTAGACAACCCACCTCAAACCAATCATCATCCAACAAGAGGCAGCAATCAGAACCATTACAAACTCTAACAACAGATACCACACTATGCCCATAGTCAAGTCCTTAAACATATTAAAAATAAATGCCATTCATACATACATACGGCTGTTCACTCCACATTTTAGAGCAATGCACTATAATGCTAATGCTGACCTAAGACATTTCCTGGAAATTTGTAAGAGAACACACAGGCATCACGCTAGAAATAAATACCTCCTTCATATCCTTCATGTTCATCTGGACACCTACAGAAATTCTATGTAAATTGAAGGGATAAAATTGTGGAGTAACTTAACTAGTCAACTGAAATATTGCACCATACTTAACAATTTAAATTAATACTAAAACAAGTATTGTGTGCCTAAACAACCCAATCATGTAATTCTATGTAATTCACTAAAACAAATTTCTTTAACAAGAAAGTTCCTTAATTATTATCAAGCAGTGATGGAAACAGATTTTTAAGTAGGTACACATTTGGGAAATGAAGAAGTAGACACTGTTGTGTCCCTGTGTACATCTCCCCTCCCAATCATTTCCATCACTGATTATAGCAACATAAAATACAGTACTCTAGATTTGTTGATTCTGACCATAAAGAAAAAATCAGCGCTGACTGGTTGAACTTGACAAAAGGTATTCAATAACTGTCTCATTAGTGCACAAATTGAACTGGAAAATGTGAAGTACAGTTAAGTACATGCCATGTACCCATGTAGTGCCCCCACCTCCCCATTTCCATCCCTGCTATCAAGTTACCATATTTTATTGCTATCTTATTAGTTACACCATGTATCCCTTCTGTTTCTTTAACCTTATCACATTATTATTACTACTGTTCCTTTCTATTCTGCTGTATATTAATTTTTATCTTCCATTCTAACTATTTTGATTTGTGCACAATTAAATAATAGTATCGAATAATTCTTTCCACATGTGAACTAAACCAAATCATGACTATCAATACTCTGTATTAAATGCACAAGCTTAAAACCAGCTCCACAACACAATATTTTACAATATTAAGCAGTTTTCACCTTCGTTTAAGTTTTCTCGACCTGTTGTGCATGCATCAAATTTTGCTTCGTAGTGCATTGAGGAAGCTCCTATCTGTGTTTCATCCCACATACTAAATTAAATGCCAAGTACTGTAAGCAAGACAGATGTGAACTTTGTTAATTTATTTTTTAACACAATGGCTGTCTCCCACCGAGGCAGGGTGACCCAAAAAAGAAACACTTTCATCATCATTTACACTATCACTATCTTGCCAAAAGAGTGCAGATACTTGATAAGTGGATATATTAACTTTGTTAATACAACCTCTCCTCACTTAACGACGAAGTTCCATTCCTGAAACCATGTCACTAAACAAATTCATCACTAAGTGAGGAGCATACTACAATGGTAGTGAGTTTGTTTGTATCAACCATCTTTGATGTTATTTTAACGTCACCTTTGAACCATTTATAACATTTCTAGTATATTTTTAAATGTTTATACAGTAGTGTACTGTATGTTGAAATAACCAGAATAGAGGAAATCAGCTCTAACATACATTATTTAGGTATGAATACTGGTCAGAGAGCCCATCGTAAGTCCAAGGCTTCGGTAAATGGGTACATTGCTAAGTGAGGAGAGGCTGTATATCTACTTATCGAGTCAACAAACATGAATTTTAAGCATATATTTTAGACATTACTTTTGAATCTTTGGTACCTAAAGGAATCAAAATTGTTGGCAATTGCAAAATCAAGAGACTCTTTATGTTCATAACTCTTTGTTCCGAGTACTACAGAAGTAAAAATTAGTCCGCACTGAAGAAATGTACAGGTATTTTTAACTTGTGTAATGTACTGTACGTACTATAGAAAAATCATAAACTATAATTACCTTGCATTTATACCTAATTTACAGTGTATTTTAATGTTGAGTAAATGAATTTACGTGCTACTGAAGCTAAGTTATGTGAGATCCTCACAAGCCATTTAACTGTCTATTAACATAAATATAATGTTAACTGATCTGAAGCAATATCTCAGTTTGTAAAAAAAAAAAAAAAAAAAAAAAAGAAAAAATCTGCACATCCATTTTGGAATTATAGATTATTATTTATGCAAATTTCATAACATCATACATGCTAAACTTGCCAAAAACAATGAGGCCTAGAATTTGACTCTTATATAATAATTTTACCATCATGATACATTAAAATTACTTGACAGGTTCAGATATAACAGTGGAACAATATCTGTTTACTGAGACAGTAAAATATACAAACAAACAGTTTTTTCACAGAGTGGTGGAACAATGGAACTATATACGACAAGAAGCTGCAAGTGTTGCAACCACTGATTTTTTTTTAACAATTATATGATAGACTAAGCACTAAAGATAGGACACCATGAGTAATTTTAATTACTTTGCTCCTGTATCAATAAACAGGTAATTACATACAGGAAAAGGATGAATGCAGCCAAAATGACATGGGAAGAATGAGGA